GCGGGGTGGGCAGTTGGGGGTGAGCAGGTTGGCACTGCGGGTAGTTGGGAGTGAGCAGACCGGCAGGCAGAGTGGTTAGGGGCAATCAGGCAGGCAGGCAGATGAGAGGTTAGGAGGCAGTGGTCCCGTATTGTGAGATGAATGTCCAACTGCCAGCAGTCAGACATCCCCCAAGGGGTCCCAGATTGGAGAGGGTGCAGGCCTGGCTGAGGGACAATGCCCCCCCCCCACATGAATTTCACACACCAGGCCACTAGGATATGTATAACTAAAAATAATTACACAAGAAAGCTATGTTTTCTGTTTTTCTTTTTTTAAATCTTTTTTGTATTGCTTTCAGAGAGGAAGGGAAAGGGAGTAGGAGACAGAAAAATCAATGATGATCGAGAATCATTGATCAGCTGCCTCCTGCACACCCCACAGTGGGGATCGAACCCACAACCCAGGTATGTGCCATGACCAGGAATCAAACTGTGCCCTCCTGGTTCATAGGTCAACATTCAAACACTGAGCCATGCCATCTGGGTGCTTTGTTTTTCTTTAATGACCAAAGTTATTTTTATAATTTTGTGAAAGTCTTTTGATCTTTACCTGAAGTATTTGCAAGTAGGCTAAGGAGAAGAAAACATTTGGGGCTGGCTAGAAGCAGTGTTACCTGAGTGTTGTTTTTTTCAGGGAGGGAAGTAATTCTTAAGAACTATAAGGTGAGGGAAAAGTAGGTTTACAGTTGTTTGTATAGAAAATCATACAGTAATTAATAGATAATTATCGACATATAAAAACCATGGGTGGTGTTTGTCACATACAGACAAACAGCCGTGACCAAGCGGAAGGAAGTCCACAGCCTGTTTATCCACATTTGAGATAGAGGCTTGTCCGCATTTATCATACAACTAGAGGCACATGCCAGGGTTGTCTTGGCAACTGCTGCCCCCTACCCCAAGCTGTTTCCTGGAGCTGTTTCCTGTAAGGGCGGAGTTTGAGGCAGGAGCCCGCCCTGGGTGCATGGAGGCAGATCTTTCTAAAGTGTGCTGCGCCAGCACAGCCATGGAAAACCTGAGTGGGGGCGGCTGAAAGGCTTAGAAAAGACAGACAAGAGAATGAAAGCCGGGTCTCAGTGGGATGCTGCTTCTCTGAGAGACAGCGACCACAACTACAGCCATGCCTTTATTTTATTGCAGATGCTAGGAGGCAAAGTAAGGGCGTGACCAAGATGTTTACAAACATTCTCCTGGGTTTCAATCCTACTCAACTACATGCACCTGAACTCTACCAAGCCCACATCACTCAGGCACGTGGGGCCACGTGTTCGGACCATAGGTTCAAGCTTACAACTACAGCTGGTGGCTATAATTGTGCTGGGAGGGCCCTGCCCTCCAAGCTGGGACTTGCACGTGGCAATGAGAGGACTGTGCCCTCTCATCAGTCTAAGGCTTGAACCTGACCAAAACACTGTAGTGGCTCCCCACAATAAAGTTTTAATTCTGTTTCTTTGTTACTAATGTTGTGGCCCCACCCCATAACAAAGAAACAAAGGAAAATTTCCCCATCGAATTTCTGAATAGTATTACTCCTTTGGGAATGCCGTGTCATAAATTAAAATTGAAAGTGGGTGCAATCATCATGCTATTGAGAAATCTCAATAGTAAATGGGGTCTTTGTAATGGTACCAGATTTATTATCAAAAAATTACGACCTAACATTATCGAAGCTGAAGTATTAACAGGATCTGCAGAGGGAGAGGCTGTTCTGATTCCAAGAATTAATTTGTCCCCAGGACACTGGCCTCCCATTTAAATTGATTCAACAACGGTTTCCCGTGATGCCAGCATTTGTGATGACTATTAATAAATCACAAGGACAAACTCTAGATAGAGTAGGCATATTCCTACCTGAACCCATTTTTGCACATGGTCAGTTATATGTTGCTTTCTCTTGAGTTTGAAGAGCATGTGATGTTACAGTTAAAGTTCTAAATACTTCATCACAAAGGAAATTAGTCAAGCACTCTGAAAGTGTTTTCACTCTTAATGTGATGTACAGGGAGATATTAGAATAAGTTTAATCACTTTATCAGTCATTGTTTGCATCACTGTTGTTTTTATATCATGTTTTTGTCATTTTTATATCATGCCTCTGTTGTTGTTATATCCTTTTGTTACTGTTTATTTATTAATAAATTTATATATTATTTTCATATATATTTTACTAATTTCCTTTCATCTCTCACACTTCTATTATAGAGAAAGGGCAAATAGCAATATTAAAATATCTCTAATTCCCTTTTTAAAAAAATATATTTTATTGAGTTTTTACAGAGGGGAAGGGAGAGGGATAGAGAGTTAGAAACATGGATGAGAGAGAAACATCGATCAGCTGCCTCCTGCACACTCCACACTGGGGATGTGCCCGCAACCATGCCCTTGACCGGAATCGAACCTGGGACCCTTGAGTCTGCAGGCTGATGCTCTATCCACTGAGCCAAACCGGTTATGGCAATTACTTCCCTTTTAATGTGCACGAATTTTGTGCACTGGGCTACTAGTATACAAATAAGCTATGTTTTGCATACTCACAACTGTAAACCTACATTTACCCCACCCTGTATTTTAAAAACACAAATATGCCATATGAACCAATAGCAGTTTAGCTCAAGCTATAGAGCTATGCAAACATCACACAATCCAGTTTAGAACATTTCCATTACCTCAGAAAGTTCCCTCTTGCCTGCTAGTGGTTAATTGTTATTCATACTCCTAACCCCAGACAACCACTAATCTACTTTCTGTTCTTATAGATTTGCCTTTTCTGGAGAGATTATATGAATGGAATCATATGATATATGGCCTTTTGTGTCTGGCTTAATGTTTTCAAGGTCCATCTATGTTGTAACATGTTTCAGTACTTTATACCTTCTTACTGCTGTGTAGCATTCCAGTGTATGGACTGGACTACATTTTGTTTATCCATTCATCAGTTGGTTGACATGTGTTTTATTTTTCACATGTAGTTTTAGCTCTTACTTTTAGATCAATAATCCACCCTGTTGATTTTTGTGCATAGTTAGAGGTAGGGGTTCAACTTCATTTGTATGTAGATATCCAGTTTTCTCCACATCATTTGTTGGAAAAGTCTGCTTTCTTCCATTAAATTGCCTTGGCATCTTTGTCAAAAATAAATTGACAATAAATACAAGGTTTTTATTTCTGATTTTTCTTTCTGTCCCATTGATCTCTCTGTCTATCCTATATTAATACCACACTGTCTCAATTACTGTAGCTTTATCAGTAAATTTGAAAATTGGATAGGGCAATTTCTGCAATTTATTCTTCTTTTTTCAAGATTGTTTGGCTATTCTGGGTCCTTTGCCTTTCCATGTAAATTTTAAAGCTTGTCTCTTTCTACAAAAAATAGCCATTGGAATTTTCATAGGGATTACATTGAATTTGCAGATCAGTTTATGGAGAACTGCCATCTCAACACTATTGAGTCTTTCCATCCATGAACATAGAATATCTATTTATTTAGTTTGTCTTTAGGTTTGTTTTTTTTTTAGCAATATCTTGTAGTTTTAAATATGGAGGTCATACTTCATTTGGTACCTTTATTACTAAGTGTTTTAATTTTTTGATACTATTGTGGATGGAATTATTTTCTTAATTTCATTTTTATATTGTTCAGTACAATTATGTTTTACTAATGTCAAAATGTGTATGGTATATTCCCCCCCCAAAATTTTAACTATTTACAAGCATTCAACTTATAGTATGATATATAATTTAGTAGGCCTGCAGGAACCAATCACTGAAACCTGTCATTGGACTAGCACTCGAGGTAGTTAATTGCCTACGTACAGTTTTTGCCCTTAAAGAATGAAATTCCTAGAAAATTTGAAGTATGTTAATACAGAAATAGTCCTGGGAACTCAATTTGAAGACATGACAAAATGTTTACAGTAAAGCTAACTTAATACGGATTTGTGTTTCTTTATATTTTATTGATTCTTAAATTTTTATAAAATGTATTGCTTTGCATTTTAATATGTTGATTCTTCTGGCCTCAAGTTAATGGTTTGTTATAGTGTTCATTTACATTATTATCACATTGAAAAATGTTATATAGGGAGAAAAATTTTACCCTGCAGTTAGTTATTACTATAAATATAAGATATATTTTGCCGGGCTCAATGTACATTGTTTTTCTAGCCAGCCATTATTTAAATAACTTGTTCATAAAGTGTGATTTTACAGTGCCTATAAGATAGAATAAATTATTATACTTTAGAAACTGAATAACATTTGGGCTTTTCCTATTGGCTGAATAAAATTAAAGTATATTGATTCAAATCTTTAGTTTTTCCCTTATAAAGTTTTTCTTAAATCTTTGGCACCAGTTATTGCTTATCAACTAATGAGCATTAATGAATACTAAAACAAATGGCCAAGTTTATTTGTGTACGTTAAAAGAAAAATTCAGATTATCATGCTTACTTCAAAAGCTTATTTTACTACAGGAAGTTGCTGTTTTACATGGTAAAATTAATGGTATTTGTGTTGCTCTGCCCTTAAGAAAATTTAAGGACCACCAAGTTAAGAAATCATTAGGAGGGGAGTAGAAATGTGAATATACTCAATGTATTAATTTGCTTATAGGCCACCAAAAACCTACGAAAATCTATACCCTCAACTTAATGATCACCTGTATGGCAGTTTTAGGCTATAATGTGTAAAAAAGCAGTTAACACTTTTCTTCAACAAAACATAAATGTCAAGTAGATTGCTATATGCTGGAAAGCTAGGGAGAGCAAATCAAGAACAGTCTTGTCTACTGTTTTTATAGTTTCCAAACAGATAGACAAATCTTCTGTAATTATAATACTTAGAGCTGTAAACACCAATATGTAAAGTTTTATAAATCGTATATTGGAAGGAGAATGTAAGTTATGTTCCTGGTATTTTTTTGGTCTCAGATTAATGATGCATGACATTTCCCCCCTTTAGGCATGCTGCAAAGGAAGGTAGAAGAGGTAGCACAGGTTTTCCAGAATCGTCTTCACAAGGAGCAAGAACACAATGTCAGGATGGCTTTTAATTGAATGACCATATCTTCAGCGTGTTATTTTTGGTTTATACATTATTTAAAAATTTTGATGACATTAAATGTAGTAGTAGTTACAATTGGTATATAATTTTTGGTTGCAATAAAGTATGTATGTGTTTAGGGTGTTTTTTCTATTTAAATATTGTGCCTTTGAGAATTGTACTGTAGTTTGGCTTTTAGTATTAGCAAATCAAAGCTATATTAACCCTTTTGTCTAGGAAGCAGCCTATTAGATTATGACTCTGTTTTGTAATTAGGTAATATATACAGTATCATAGTATAGTGCAGTTTATATAAAACTTTAGTTTGCATAAATTAGATATGTGTGTGCGGCTTCTTGATTTAGGCAAGCCTTTATAAAGTTACAGTACCTAATCTGTTATTCCCACTTCTCCATTATTTTTGTGTATCTTAAAAAATATATATCAAGATTTTCAAATTATCATTTAGAAGTAGGTTTCCCTTGTAGAAAAACAAATTTTCCTTCCATTTACCAAAAATAAACTCTTGTAGGAAAGAAAAAACTGTATCATAGAGAAATACATGCCAAAAAATAAATGCCAACTAGTCTTTGGGTGCCTGTTGTAAAGTAGTAGTATACAGTATATTGTAAAGTCTCTCCCCTCAAGGGAACTTACTGCCTTAGCTTGAGATATAATTAATAGCTATCTGTATAAAAGTAATATAGACAATACAAGGGAGTGTGTTATGAGTCACAGAAAGTGTGTTATAGAAAATCAGAGATGGGAGGAAGAGTTAGGGTGGATTTGGGACTTGAATTAGGTTATTTTTGAAAGGCAATCTGTTTATTTTTGATGTACAGTTATGCTGGTGTTTTACCATATGATTCATAATTATTTGTTTGTGTATTTGTTCATTTATTTTTCAAGAAAAAGCCTTGTTCTTAGCTTTAGAATAATCCGATCTCTTGTGTTTCATGTTTGACCTAAGTCACAAATAATGGCGATATTCTAAAATATAAAAGTATAACACCAAAATAAACTACTTGAAAGTTTTTTAGTGGCTAGTGCTTAGTTTTCTAGAATTACTGAGCTGAATTTCTGTTGTGCTGAATGTACATGACCATCCTGATGGGTACATATTAAGGGAATAAAATATTTTTCAAATGAGTAGTAGTGATTTTCATCACCTTATGAGTAAACTAAATATCAGAACGTACATAGCCTCTTTTTTTCCTATCCAAACTTCTCAAATTAGTAGTTCTTATTAGTTAAATCTTCATTCCCACTAAAAAATATAGAGTATGAAAATAATCTAGAGACCATTTAATTTTGTGGATGATTTCTGTGGGTAAAGTGCTTTTGAGTATAATCTTGAGTTCTCTTAATTTTTGAGTCCAGTATTATTACATGCTATTATACCCTAGAGAAAAGCATTTTAGTATTGTTTTTGGAGGTCCAACTCCAGTAAAATAGTCTGTTCATAAATTAAGTTCCACATTCAGTATTGGAGGAAATACTGGATTTTGTCTTGTTGATTCTTAATTAACTAGACAATTTCATTTGGACATAATATTTTCTCTATAACATGAAAAAGTTGGACCATGTTAAGTTTTTCTCAACTGAAAGAAATGACTTTTCATTTCTTCAAAGTTTTGTGATTCTTTTATGTCTTTTCACTACCAGTAAGTGCTTACTATAAAGTTCCTTAGTAAAATAAAGAAAGAGAAGGCTACAGTACTCCTATTGACTTTGTACTGGGAGTTCTGTGTGTGTGTGTTTGTTTTTGTTTTACAGGACATAGAGGAGGACAGTGGATGGCAAGTGGCATCTAGTTTAATAAGGTAACACTGCAAAATTTACTGGTACTGTTTGGAATCTGGAGCCTTGGACTTAATTATCTTTAAGGTTCCTCCTGACTCTGGTTCAACATGACACTTTTGAACAAATATTAATTAAAAGATGAGAAATAACCTATTTTTGCCAGTAATTTTAAGGCAGCATTTATGTAAGGTGATGAAATCTTGAGCCCCTCTAATCATTGTTAAAGACCAGCTGAAATTATATGAAGGAGAATTTTTTAATTTGTCATGTTTACACTTTCCCAGTGCTTGACTACTTTTTTGTTTTTTGAAAAAGATGCTGTATAACAGCATTTATGCTATCTCATATTAGATGAGTGATCCTATCCTTCTTCAAGGAAAGATTTTTGGTTTTAGCATCTTCTTCCATATCTATAAATTGCTTCATAATGTATTCATCAGAAGTGTGCTATGAACAAAGTGCTCAAAAAGAACAAATCCTGAAAATATGTCTATTTTAAGGAGGAACTTCTGGCTTAATTAAACAACTTGTTTAATTGTCAGAACGACAAATGAGGCATATTTTTCAGTTTGTCATAAATTCTTCTAGGGGTGAAATAACCTCATACTAATATCTCTGTGCCTGTGAATAACATCTAGAAATCTCAAAGTTTTTTATATACTGTCTGATATCCTTTTAAAGTAGGGAGAGGGATGCCATGGGAAACAGAATAGCTATTATTCCACAGTTAATAAGTTTGGCAGAGCTAGAAATAGCCTGATGTTCCACCTAGTGTAATTTTCTGAATGTTTGTCCTTGGTACCTACCACTTGGGCTGGCTACAGTCATACGCAGGCACATAGAACACTTTCTTATGACCTTGCTATCTAGTTGCAATTTCAGCCTATGTGAATATATCTTTTTCGCCATTCATTCTCCACCCATCCCACCTAGTGCATTTCTAATGTAGTGTGCATTAGAAGTTGTATACAAGTCTGATGTGGTGGTTAGTATAGTTTTGTTTCACCCTTTGCCACTTTCCCAAGGAATAAACACACTATCAACCTTGGTGTATTTTTCCATTTCCTTATTGATTAATTTTTCAATTAGACATTTTGGTTGAGCGGCAGAATTCAGCCCCAGCACCATATAGGATTTGCTTGGTGTAGGCTATGATATAACCCACACTAATACTTCCCATGAGATTTTTGATCTTTTAGTAGTTCCCAGGATAGAAAGTACAATGTCTTCCAGAAGCTGCTGTTTGGTTTTATCTTCTAACTTGACCATGGCAATACAGCTAGTTTGAATACATTTGAACCTATTGGATAACCTATTGGAATATTTATTCATAGATGGCCATCCTGTCAAGTGATTTTAAAACCATAGTTTTGTATATTACTTTATAGTCACTCTATTCTGAGGTATTAATCCCATTTTCCAGGTGAGCATTCACACACAATCAATTGCTATGCTAAAGGGAATGAGCATTTATAATTACAGTTGCCTTCCACAAAGGTTGTACCAATTTATGTTCCTACTAGCAATGTATTAAGAGTGCCTATTTCCCCATGATCTCAGCAAAACAAGTGCGTTCTCAAACTTATGGATGTTTACCAATCTGGTAGGTTACTATAGTGTGCGCTTTAAAAATAAACTTTATTTTTTTAACAGTTTTAGGTTTACAGAAAAGTTGCATAGTACAGAGTTCCATATACCTCCACTCAGTTTCCCTTAATGTTATCATCTTAACATAACTGGTATATTTGTCACAATTCATGAACCTTATCATTAACTAAAGTGCAAGTTTATTCATATTTCCTTTTTTACCTAGGGCCCTTTTTCTAATCCAGGATACCACATTGCATTTAATCATCACCATGTCTCCTTTGATTCATTTGTCTGGGACAGTTTCTCAGACTTTTCACGTATTTCATTAACTTGACAGCTTTGAGGATTACAAGTCAGTTGTTTCATAGTCAGTGTACTTTGAAATTTCCATCTTGTGAGATCAAACATCTTTTTTTTCATATACTTAAGAACACTAGTATTTCCATTTCTGGGAACTAAGAGCCCATGCTCTTAACAAATATGCTGTATCCCTTTCTTGATTCACAATAATTAAAACGTTCACGAGCCTGAGTACATATGGATTTCTGATTCTCCAGAAGTACATGTCTTTTAAGCCTCTGTTACAGATAGAGGAGAACCATTAGCGCAAGAGATGTCAAACTTGTGTCTGATCATTGTGGTTACACAGGACGGACCAGAGGCTCCACTGGAAACAGCAGGTAGGCCAGATAATAAGTCCTTGGAAGCCGAAGCAGGCTAGTAAGGACACATTTGAGGGAAATTGGGGGCGCCAGGATTTAGTGATACCGAATGAGAGGGTCAAGAAGTCAAAGATTACTCTTAAGTTTATGAGCTGGATATTTTGGGTGTTGCCTTTAACCTCCAAACAATTTAAGAGAAATATTTGAACAATTTACAACATACCAGTTACTCAATACGTTACGTACTTTCTCTTTCCCTTTCTTTAGCTCTGCGCTACTACAATTCCCAGAGCCCCGCACTCCACCACAATCCCCTCAGAGTTGGCTGCGCAGAATTCTGGGACTTGAAGTCCGAGGCCTGTTTATCCAAGTTAGAGAAAAGGGCCTGTGGAAACATGAAGAGGTAAGGGCTTGTGTGAGCAGGCGGCGATGGGAACTCTGTTTTACCTTTTCACTTAAATGGCTTTTATTACTTTGTGTGTGGGGTATGTCACGTTCTCGGGATGCGGTTTCGTGTGAGAGGGAAGACAAAAGGGAGCAGAGGAGACGGGCTAGGCAGGCCTCCTGGGCGAAGTTCAGGAAGGACCGCCGCCGCTGCCGGTTCCTACAGAAATGACCTTTCAGCCCAGGCATCTAAGCCCCGGCGCGGGTCCCCTGGAGCCGGACACATGCTGTGGCTTCTTCCTATTGCAAATGGACCCACCCAGGTGCTAGAGTCTTGGCCGACTAATGCCTCGTGCCAGAGAAACCCAGGCCAGCTCCTCCTAATACTACAGAAAGGGGACCTGGGTAGGCGCCTTTATTTGCAGGGTTTGTGTATTAAAGAAAACGCGGGCATGTAACGTTTTCAAATCTTAAAGTAAGTCATACTTTGATACTTTGTTTCTACAAATTTAGAAGGCAAAACCGATTCAATGTCATAGGAAAAGAAAGGCACTTGGTGCGAGCAGTTCCCCCTACTGGTTCTGCAGGAAATGGCAGCTTTAATTTGGCTGGTCATTGTTGAAAGCCTGAGCTTCCCAATTAATCCACAAGCCTTTTCTAAGGATTCTCAAATTAGTTTTGTATCCACTCTGCAAGTAGAATAATCGCTCTGGAATAGGGCTGTATATTTACAATTCTTACTGATACTATGCTGTCCTGCAACTGTCAGTTTCTGTGTCTTTTAAGAAACTGGTTCTGATTTTCCCTGCCTCAAAATGACTTTAAAAAAATGTTTCTAGTGATATGTCTCATACATGCAAAATAATGTATATATAAAGTTTAAAGAATAATAATAGACTCATACCCACTACAAGCTTTAGACCTGGAACATTACTAGTACCTTAGAAGTCCCCAGTTTCCCTCCCAGATTACTTCTCCTCTCTCCCTCCTCAGGGGACCATTATTCAGAATTTTGTGCTTATCATTCCCTTTCTTTAAAAAAAAATAGTTTTATGACTTATGATTTTATCCCTAAACAAAATATTGCTTGTTTTATCCATTTTTCAACTTTACATAGATGGACACATTGTATACATTTTTATGTAACTTGCTTTTTTTACTCAACATTTCTTTTTGAGTATTTAGCTATGGTTTACTCATTTCAAAGCCACTTTAAACTTAGCAAAAACTTTCTGAATTCTAAATAATAAATAAAAATTAGGATACTTAGAAGGGATTTTTAAAACCCTGGGCCTAAGGATATTTTAACAAATGGGACTTATACCTATTTCCCAAAATAGGTATAAGTCTTTCTAGAGCATGAGAATCTTGCTTATAATTATGAGGGATACTTTTCCTAGGTCCCAATAATAAAGGACTATTTTATAAGGTATTTTAATATTTATTTTCCTCATGGAGTTAGCTCAATTTTTGTTTTTTTGTTTTTTTGTCTTTTATAATCTGTTGTTGCCTAAAATAATTCTGCTATTTCTTTATACTCTGGTGTTTTAAGTTATTTATGGTTAGTTGGCTCATGTTAGCATTACCTAGATTTCTATACAGTAGTGCCTGGGCCAGTGATGGCAAACCTATGACACGCGTGTCAGAGGTGACATGCGAACTCATTTTTTTGGTTGATTTTTCTTTGTTAAATGGCATTTAAATATATAAAATAAATATCAAAAATATAAATCTTTGTTTTACTATGGTTGCAAATATCAAAAAATTTCTATATGTGACACGGCACCAGAGTTAAGTTAGGGTTTTTCAAAATGCTGACACGCCAAGCTCAAAAGGTTCACCATCACTGGCCTAGGCTATATAATGTTATGATCCCTTTCACATTTGTTTCTATGCTTTTTCCTTTGGAGATCTCCTTTTCACAGCTCCAGATTCTGACACTAGAGATGACTTGATATTTCCATGTTCAGCCTGATACTTACCTGTGCAATATTTCTCCCATATCTCACTTCCCTTTTAGCTAATATCACTTATACTGTCACCTCAGACTCAATATGTCTTTGAATATTCCTGGTGTTTCCATTGTAATAGGTAGTTGACCCAACATGGCTAAAACAATACTGATGTTCCCTTTTTCCAAACTATTTCACCTGGAGCTTCCTCTTTCCTTCATTGGTACCATTGTTCTCTCAGTTTGAAATTTGGAGGTTATCTTTTACTTATCTTTTACCCTATTTTCAAAAGGCCTCTCTCATCTAACTCTTCATTTCTGTCCCCTGTTACCACTTCACTTTGGACTTTTGTCCTCTTATCCTTGATAAGTTTTCCAGCTAGTTCTTTTGGTTTCTTTCCTACTAATCCATAAGGCATGTTATAACCACATTCTTTTTCCTAAACCATCACTTGTACCATGCCACTTAACTGCCTAATAAATTACTTTCTAATACCTATACATTAAGATCCAGGCCCCTTAATTGGTGTATTTAAGGCCACACAAGATCTGAGTCTAATTACCCCTCCAAGATTATCCCCCAGTTAGCCCATACTTGAATGTCAGCTAAATTGAACTTCTTGTTAATCCCCAGAACATCTCATACTTGCTGTCCCTTTTCTTCCTTTCATCATACCCAGTCCTTTAAATGCCAGTTTAAGAAGTCTTCATTTTACCCTCCTGATTCCCAGTTATTTCTTTCTTCTGTGAACTCCTACTAATTTGGCATATGCTTCTTTGTATTGTCATTCTCCTCTCTCCTCCCTTACTTTCCCCTCCTTTCCAGGCACATGTACACAATACATACACACCTATATATTTCCTCTCCCTAAATAAATTGCAAACTCCTTGAGGATAGGGACTATGTTTGAGTACCTTTGACTCCATCAGTGCCTTACAATGTTTTGTGTGTAAGTAGGTATTTAATAAATGTTTATGGAATGAATATAAAGTGCAAAGGATTGTTAGAGAAGGATCTTTGAACAAATGGGGTCACCAAAGGTAGATAATATAGGTAAAAAATTGATTTTGAGGTTTCACTATCTCTTCTGCTCTCTGTATGTGTCCCTATATCTACTCCAGGGTAAACAGCTGTGTGAAGAGTGATGATCATGTCCTGGAAGAGTTAGAAACAGAAGGGGAGAGGCAGCTGAAAAGCCTCCTTCAGCATCAACTTGACACCTCTGTCTCCATTGAGGAGTAAGTATTGATTTTGCAAACAGGTAAAGTATCATAGACCTTAACCTCCAGGTGACCCCTTTTAAAGTCTGGATGCAACACTCCTCTCCCACCCCCTGTTCCTTGGCAAACTTCTACGTATTAGGCAGGGTTTTTCTTCTATGTCTTTTCCTCTGCAGATCCTCCCATATTCTACTACATATATGCTAAGTATCTTTCCTATGTCTTCCCTTAACATACATAGCACTTACAACCCAATATTATCATTGCCTGTTTACTTGCCTCTCCTTCTACTGTTCTTCCACAAAAGCAGAAACCATTTTTATCTTTTAAACTGTTAAATCCTCAATACCCAGCATAGTGTCTGATGTATAGTAAATACTCAATAATCAAATATTTGATTCAGTCATTTATTAGTCCTGGATGAGGGGAGTATTGGTGGAGTTCCATATTGGTAACAGTGGCACTTCAGCCTAGAAATAGGACATGAGAGAGAAATTGCCGATGAGTTTCATTGTGCCTCTTTTAATGGTGAGCCCTATTTCTGTGAATTGTAATTTGAAGATGTTCTTACTCTCTTCATTCTTGGTTTGCAGATGTGTGTCTAAGAAAGAGAGTTTTGCTCCTGGTACTATGTATAAGCCCTTTGGGAAGGAAGCAGCCGGAACTATGACTTTGTCCCAGTTTCAAACATTGCATGAGAAGGACCAGGAAATTGCTGCCCTCAGGGAACTAGGGCTCAATGAAACAGAAATCTTGATCTGGAAGAGCCATGTTTCAGGTGAAAAGGTGAGTGGGGCAATTTTTTTCTGAAAAGTGCAGAGCAATATCTCTTCATTTGGCACTGAGAACCTTTTTATTTTTAATTCTCACAAAACTAAGCTTTTTGTTTGAATCTTCTTTGATTCCTAGGACAGGGACCTTGGGAAAAGAGAAACTATCCCTTGACTGATTAGCTACCGTATCTGTAAATACTCATTCTGGGCCTTGATCATCATTGCTCTTTAAGTATCAGACCATCCCTTTAAGGGTATGTCCTCTATGATATATGCCCTCTCATTTCTCTGATTTCAGAGGACGAGACTGAGGGCAACCCCTGAAGCAATACAGCACTGCCTTCAAGATATTGAAGAAAGGATCTCAGAGCGTCAGCGCATCCTTTGCCTGCCACAGAGATTTGCTAAAAGCAAACAGCTGACCCGGCGAGAAATGGAAATAGAAAAATCTTTATTTCAGGGTGCTGATCGTCACTCCTTCCTTAAGGCTCTTTACTACCAAGGTATGTGATCACCACTGATGTGTTCTTTCACTAAGAGAGAGAGATTTACCATTAGCGCATTAAATAAGAGGAGTTAGTGAAGTGGGTAGGGGAAAGACAAACTTTCACTACTCTTTAGGAATGTGTGAGAGACAAATATGTTCAGAGTTAGTTGCAGTTCAGTTGCTATTTGTAGACATGTGAAGAAAATGCTGAGGGAGCACAGAACATAGAGCCTCAAGTCTAGTTGGGGGAGTCAGGAGTTGACATTTCTAAGTCCTGATGGGTTAACAGAGATTTGTCAGGTTAACAAGATGCAGAGGACATTACAGATAATAGGTGAATAGGAACAGGATTGTGAAAGGACCTGGGAACAATGAAAAGGTCAGTGTGGCAGGCAGTATAGGACTTGGCAGGGAATTAATTACAGGAGATGACACTAGAAAGATAGGTGAGGCTAGATTGTAAAAGTTTTTAGACTGAACTGTAAATTAGCACAAAATCTATAGAGAAATGGTCTGTGTCTTAACCAGAAAGAATGAGTGTAACAGATAAGTTTTGCTAGGCACTGTGTAAGGTGCACAGAAGTTTAAGAAATGGTTCCCAACATTAAGCCAATTACAGTCTGGTTTGAGAGAAACAGGACATTTTACTAACAATGCTAGATACAGTTGTAAAGTGCTGTAGGAGTTCAGAGGAGGAAAAGGCTACTGTGCATTGGCATGACTAAAGAAGTCCTCTTGGAGGTAAGGTTTAAATGTTCTTTTAATGCTATATTCTTTAGGGTGGAGAGGGAAAGGCATCACAGCAGATATTGTGAGCACTATGGTGTGTTCGGGGATGTTGTGAGAGACAAGGTAGCTAAAATTTTTGACCTTTCTGTGGTAGACAGTATAGACCTATACAGAGTTAGTTATTCAGTTAGTTAGTTTGGATATGGTTAAAGGTTTTTGAACCAGGAGTAACATGAGAAACGCAGTATTTGAAAATGATTAATCTGGTGACCAAGAAATACAGGGTGGGGCAAAAGTAGATTTATATGGAAAATAATACAATACTTAATAAATAATAATACAAGAATAAACTGTTTTACATATTCACAACTGTAAACCTACTTTTGCCCCATCCTGTATGATGAGAGAGAGAAAGAGATGGAAGCAGAGGAAATGATTTAAGAGGTAATACAGTCCTTAGACATGAAGATATGGACTAGAATGATGGCAGTGGAATTAAAAAGAGGTAGATATGATTGTAAGAGACATTACAAAGTAAGAATTGGTAAAACTTGTTGACTGAGGCTGAAGGAGGACAGTCAATAAAGAAGAGTGTCAAAGGTAATCCAGGTGTTTCAAGGCTGTGTGACTTAATTGTCAAAATTAAGAAAGCTTTTATGGGGAAATTTTGAGGAAAATAATGAGTTTGATTTTGAACGTGTTGAATTAGTGAGAATGGCAGGTTCATTAAATGCAGATATTGAGGAGGCAGTTAGAAATGCAACAATGAAGCTCAAGGGAGAGTTCAGAACTAGATCTATAGAATTGGGAATCATCTATGCTTAGATCAGAAGTAAAGCCATGAGAATGAATGAATGATTTGTTAGATACCATAGACATGGAAGAGCAGTGGTGAAGGAAGGAAAACAAAAACAAAAACAAAGGAATAGCCTTTTGTAGAGAGGCATTAATACGAACTGATTAAGGACATGGGTTCTGGAGGCAGATTCCTGGAGGCAGACTCATGGGAAAATTCTGGTGCCCCACTTAATTCTGGTGCTTTAAGATTTTGGGCAAGTTACCACTCTGTGCTTCAGTTTCTTTGTGAAGTGACAATATTAATAGTAGCTATATAGTAGGATTGTTCAGAAGGTTGAGGTAATACATGTGAATCAGAGCAGTGCCTGGTATTTGGGGGTGGGTGGGTAGTATATGAATCTGTTTTTCCTATCTTTGAAACTCCTTACTTTAAACCTTCACAGCATACCACAAAAAGACAAGTGCAGACAAGTACATGACCTCAATGAAGAGGAAGATAAAATTAGGCACAAAAGGCAAGTTAAGAGTTTTCTTACAGTGTTAGATTTAGGAATGTAACCTAGGGTCCCAGACTTCTAAGTTGAGTGTTTATTTAATTCCTTATCCAGTATATGACAATGTTTATAGGAAATTATCCAGAGGTAGCATATTATTCTGATATAGAATATTAAAGAGAGGAGCTAGAAGAAGTTGTAAAGCTTTTACATTTAGTGTTGTTGAGTTTTTTTCTCTATACCTTTAAGTTATTGTACCAGACATAAAACAACCTTAATAATTTTTACATCTTATTTCACAAGTAATTCTGAATATTTTTATTATTCAGTAAAGTATAAATATTGATGATGATGATGATGATGATATAATAGCTAATATTTTCTTTTATTTTTTAAATGAACTTACAATGATTTTGGGGGGTGGACAATTCTGTGAATTGTAAAGCATGTAAATCATGTAGATTCATGTAATCACCACCACAGTCAGGATAAAGAACAGCTCCATCACCCTAAAACTTCTTCATACTGTCCATTGGTAGTCACCCCAACTCCACCCATAATCTCTGGCAATCACTGATCTGTTTTCCATCACTGTAGTTTTGTCTTTTATAGAATATCATACAAATGGAATCACAAGATATATAATCTTTTGAGAGTAGCTTCTTTCATTCAGTGTAATGCCTTTGAAATTCATGCAAGTTGTGTGTATCAGTAGTTCATTCATTTTGCTGAGTAGTGTTCCATTGTATGGATGTTCCAAAGTTTGTTTATTCATTCACCCATTGAAGTATATTTGAGCTGTTTTCAGGTTATGGTGATTATGAATAATACTGATGTGAACATTCTTGTACAGGTTTTTGTGTGAACATAAAATTTTTATTTCTCCAAGGTAAAATATCTAGGAGTGGGATTACTGGGTCATATGGTAAGTGCTTGTTTAACTTTATAAGAACCTGCCAAACCATTTTCCAGAGTGGCTGAATCATTTTGCATTCCCACCAGCAATGTATGAGAGTTCCAGTTGCTCTGCATCTTTGTCAGCATTTGGTATTGTTGGTACTTATTTTATTCTATTAGCTGTGAAGTGGTATCTCATTGTAGTTTTAATTTGCATTTCCTTGGTGGCTAATGATGTTGAACATCTTTTCATATGCTTATTTGCCATCCTTATATCCTGTTTGCTGATGTGTCTGTTCACATCTTTGGCTGTTTTTAATTCGGTTATTTATTTTCTTCCTGATGACTTGTGAGAGTTCCTTATATATTTTAAACACGATTCTTTGTTGGATATCTGATTTGCAAATATTTTATCCCAATATGTAGTATGTCTTTTCATTCTTTTAACACTATCTTCTATAGAACAAAATTTTTATTATGGTAAAATATACCTTACTAAAATGGACTGTTTTAACCATTTTTTTTAAGTGTTCAGTTCTGTGGCATTAAGTATATCCACATTGTTGTGCAACCATCACCACTGTCCATCTACACAACTTTTTCATCTTCTCAAACTGAAACTGTGTACCCATTAAACACTAACTCCCCTTTCTCCCCTCTCCTCAGCCCCTGGCAACCACTGTTCTTTCTGTCTCTATGAATTGACTACACTAGGTACCTCATGTAAGTGGGATTATACAGTATTTGTCCTTTTTTCACTTTGCATAATGTCTTCAAGGTTATTCATGTTGTAGCATATATCAGAATTTCCTTTTTTAAGGCTGAATAATAATCCATTGTATGGATACACCATGTTTTTTTAGTCCATTCATCTGTCAATAGACACTTATTTTGCTTCTACCTTTTGACTATTGTGAATAATGCTGCTATGAACCTGGATGTATAAGTATCTGTTGAAGTAACTGCTCTCCATTCTTTTGAGTAAATACCCAGAAGTAGAATTGCTGGATCATATGGTAATTCTATGTTTATTTAATCTTTTGAGTAATCACCACTGGTTTCCATAGAGGCTATATCATTTTGCCTTCCCACCAGCAATGTACAAGGATTCCAGTTTCTCTATACCCTCGCCAACACTTACTTTCTTTTATTTATTTTTTTAGACTAGCCATCCTAATGTGTGTGAAGTGGTATTTCCTTATAGTTTTTTAAAAATATAGTTTTATTGATTTCAGAGAGGAAAGGAGAGGGAGAGAAAGATAGGAACATTAATGATGAGAGAGAATCATTGATTGGCTGCCTCCTGCACACCACCCACCAGGGATCAAGCCCACAACCCAGGCATGTGCCCTGACCAAAAATCGAACTGTGACCTCCTGGTTCATATGTTGATGCTCAACCATTGAGTCGCACCAGCTAGGTTCCTTACAGTTTTGTTTTTCATTTCCCTAATGACTAGTGATGTTGGTCATCTTTTCATGTGCTTTTTGGACATTTGTATATCTTTGGAGAAATGTCTAAGTCCTTTGCTATTTTTTAAATAGGTTGTTTGTCTATTTGTTGTTGGGTTGTAGGAGTTCTTTATATATTCTGGACATTGATCCTTTATCAGATTTATGATTTGCCTATATTTTCTCCAATTCCTTGGGTTGCCTTCTCTCTCTGTTGATAGTGTCCTCTGATGCACAAAAGTTTTTATTTTTTATGAAGTCCAGTTTCTCAATATTTTCTTTTGTTACTTGTGTTTTCGCTGTCATATCCAGTAAATCACTGCCAAATCTAATATCATAAAGCGTTTCTCCTGTATTATCTTCTGAGAGTTTTATATTTTTAGCTCTTACATTTAGGTCTTTAGTTCATTTTGAGTTACTTTTTGTGTATGGTATAAGATAAAAGGTCCAACTTCATTTTTTAAATGTTGGTATTTAGTTTTTCCAGTACTACTTGTTGAAGACTGTTCTTCCCCATTAAATGGACTTAGCACCATCTCTGAGAATCATTTGACCATTAATATGAGAGGTTCTCCATTGTATTCCATTGGTTTATATTTCTGTCTTTGAAGCAGTGCCACACTGTTTTAATTACTATAGATTTGAAA